TGGTCCATTTTTGTTTGACATCTATTCCAGTAGGGCACTCAAAAGTAAAACAGCGAAGGAGAACGAACTTGACCATGTACGTGTTTTCCATTGATTTTTTTTTTATATTGAACGAGACTCGATTTGTTATTCAATTAGATAAAAAGCTCTGAAAGGAGAAGGTTTGTTTTTCAGAGCTCAGGCTTGTCATTAGGGATGGGATATATCCCCCTCTTGAAAGGCAGAATGGCTTTGAACATTGTGGTTGCTATGGCTACATTGGGCACTAGAATACATTATGGTCAGGTTTCCTTTATTGCTACTGACACCTAATTGGGCTGTCATCACCTGCTAAAGATTGGCAAAGAATTACCAGTCTAAAAGTCAAAATATATTACTAAAGTTTTAAATCACTGAAAGACACAAAATAAGACTTTATCCAATCTTTCTCTCAATATTTAACCCCTTTATCCAATAAAGGGTCATGCGGGAGCTGGAGCCTATCCTGGCAAGCAATGGGTGCAAGGCGGGATACTCCCTGGACAGGACGCTAGTTGTTCTGTTGATATACAGGCATTATTGAATTGTCGTGTTAACAACTGAATGAGACAGAAAGACAGAACAAACGTAAATAGACAGAACTCTGCCATCAGCCACAAATGTCAGATTTTAAAATCAGACATTATAATAATAATAATAATAATAATAATAATAATAATAATAATAATAATAATAATTATTATTATTATTATTATTATTATTATTATTATTATTATTATTACTTTTCTTTATTGTACTCCTTTTGTTGTTGTTGTTGTTGTTGAAGTAAAATTCATCCTTGGCTAGAAATCTGTTAAAATAGGATGACATGAGCCTGATCAGTAGTGCAGTGGGAGTGGTATTCTGTGACTCACTCCCTGCAGCTGTCTTCTTCCTGTGTTACAAGTGTCATTCCACAAAACCATTGTGCAGGACACCTGCTGGCTCTCTGATGCTTTTTCTGAGTCTCCGGACTAACATGCAGCCAATATTGTGGATAAAAGGGTTGACCTAGTCTTCAAATGGACACTGTGGAGGGGAATTTCTAATGGTGTGTGTTAACGCCAAATCCCATCACAAGGCTGAAATGTATGTGAAAGGTGTGACAATGATGAGCATGCTTTTTGCGAGGTCAAAACTTACTGAGATAAATTCACAAAGTACTGTAGTTTATTCCAAAAACCTTTTTAGACCCATTTTCATCCATTCATCCATTTTCTAAAGCCACTTTACATAACACAGGATCGCAGTGGAGTTGGAACCTATCCTTTAAGCAATAGGCACAAGCCAGGGTACACCCTGGATGGAACGCCAGTTAATTTACCCTATAGACTGTGGAAGGAAACCAGAGTACCTAGACAAAACGTATTAAAAACATAGGTTTCCATTAGACAAACTCCATTCAGAAAACACCCTAGAAATTTAACCAAGGGCCCCAGCACTGCAAGGTACCAATGCTAACCACTGTGCCACTTGCCACCCTAGCCACATGTTTCTATTTTTAAAGAATTTATATTTTTCTAATTTAAGTCATTTATTATACTTCAAATATTTTAATGTTAATGAAATATTGCAATATTTAAATTAATACCTGTCAATCTGTTCTGTAGACCTGCTGGATTGTGGCTCTTCAGTACCAGAGTTGGCCACCTAGAGCCTAGTCAGCATACCCTTAGAAGGTGGGAGGAAATTGAGAGAACATGCAAACTCTAGTAAAAGTAATGAGTCAGGAATCCAACTCAGCAGCCAAGAGCTGTAAAGCAGTAATATAAATATCTGCCACTCAGCTGTTCTGCTTATGAGCAAAATAATTAGCAAATATTGTTCTTACTACTACTTTTATTACTATTTCATTGTAATTTTTACATCACACTAAAGCTGACAAAATCAATAATGTCCTATTTTATAAATTGCCTTTCATATTGTTTTTCAGGCTGCTTATCCGGTATTGTTACAGCAATCTGCAAACATATAACACTTGTTAACGTTGTTAGCATTGTAAAAATAATCTTCATACAGATTAGCATAATCTTTTATTAACGTTGATCTTATATGGTAAAATTGTGTTTTTACTGTTTGCTGGTTTTAAAAACGTCTCTCTATTGCCATCTGCCTGAGAAATGAGAGAAGTTCAGCAGGGACCATTTCCAATAGTTTTTAACAGAGGATTCTTTGGACCAGAGGATACAAAGCTGCCACTCTGCTGTCTCTGGGAATGGCTCAAAAATGCATCGTTCTGTTCTTGGGTGGCTATATGAAGACCCATTGCCACACATCCAGAATAGTTCCACTCTGCTGCTTCAGACAATCAAATTAGAAGTAAAATGTTGCAAAGTCTGTGGGGTCCGCTTCATGCTGATTAATAAATTACTGATTCCTAATTGCAATCAAAACATCTCTGAAATGACAGTGTGCAGACTGAGTTGTTACACTGAATGAAATTCACCCATAATAAGCACATGAATCATTTATTTAGCCACGGAAAATAATTTTATAGATTTATTGTGGTACTTTCTGTCATCACACTGGTTCTTGTATCAGCTTCCTTTTGGGTTAATATTTAGGATAAGCCTAGAACTACAGTAGGCTGGAAGTAAGAGCTTGGCTAGTTGGGAAGGGACTGGGGATAGAGCTGAATAAGGATCAGTATAAAGTTTAACACTTTGGCGTGTGTTCGGGTTTTTGTTATATTACAGTTATATTTAGTTTTCCATTAAACTAGGTTTTGTGGGATAGAAATAAAGATTAGGCAGGAGCGAGGATGACTTTTGTTTTGTTTTGTTTTAAAAGTTAGTTTCAAGGGTTAGGATTATTATTCATGTTACAAAATTGGCTAGGAATTCAAATTGATATTACAAATGATTTTACATTGGTAATATCAGACCAATGATTGCTTTTTGGAGGTCCTATATTAAATTAAACTTAATTCAATAGATAAGTTTATTTGTCCTACTACAGCTCCACCACCAGTAAAAAGAATGTTCTTGCTGACATTCTAAACTGATAGAAGTAAAATGGATTGGAGAAGTAAAACAGCTACAGTATTTCTGCTATCCTCTGTGCAGTTAAAGCTGAATATCTGAACATTTTAAGTTCTGAACAGAGACGATTACGAATGGACCTGATACAAGTATTCAAAATCTTCAAGGTCTTCGCCAAAGTCTATGTCAAATCTAAATCAACAATATTCCAACACTACCCAGAGACGACAAGTGGAAAATATGTGAGAGTGCATTTAAAACAGACAATAGGAGGCAGTGCTCCACACAAAAGGTTGTGGTGTTATCAAATAAGCTACCTGTTATCTTGTTGAAGCCGATATCTTGGCTTCCTTCCAAAAAAACAGCTCTATGACATCTGTGTAACAAAGGAACAGATAAAGGTTTATCCCATGCTGAAAGGGAAAGAAGTGATGCACCTGAAGAAGGTTCCACAATGATTGCTCTGTGTTGTGTCTCTTTTCTTTTTTTTTATTCTGCCATCCACTTGAAATTCTTGTAACACACTAGATGAGCAGAATTGCCTCCTCTTGCTTATGTTCTTATGTATCATGTGGCACAACTGTTTTTGGTTGTGTTGAGGCCACAAAATTGTACAGCTCCAGGTTTCTTCTCCAGAAAAGCTTTTTCTGAAAAGCGCCAGCAACACCATTCATCTTCAGGCATCTCTTAGCAGCTGCCTTCTACCTTTGGAGCATGGCTAGAAAAAAAACACAAGTTCAGCTCTTCCCCTGCAGCAGCAGTAATGTAACTCACGTGTGAACATGAAGAAGGGCGTCCTCAGGGTTTCTACTGATGGGTTCATTATGAATCTTCTTTCCTTGACTGAAAGGTTTCTTTAGAAAAATGTGTTTTGCATTGATTTTTCAACTACAGTCTGCATGAAAGATTATTAAAGATCAAGATACACTTAAAGGCAACAATACCCTCCACTACAGCCTCTCAGTGTCAGAAGTAATGGAAAAATCTTGAGTTTATTGAACTGCCATAACCCAAAAGCCAATACTTTTACATCTGCAGCTGTCACGCCCTCTGCAGCCAGAGGGCGCTCCTACTCTGTTCTGTCCCTAGTTTCCTATGCTTTGCTGTCCTTCCGGTGTCTCTCTTTCTTGGGCTATATATTTCCGGGTTTCTCATTCACCTTCGCTCAGCATTGATGTTCGGATGTCCTGAGACCCGCCTAGCATCCAGGTGGCCCCACATCCGCTGCCTGAGGGCATTGGTTTCTATACGACTCCTGAACTGCTGAGCCTGGGGTAATCTCCCATTCCGCTGCTATGCATATGGGTCTTTTTCTGTTCTCCCGCCTCTCCACGGTTCATCCCTTCCGACATCTGTGACAGCAGCCCTTTAGCACTAAATGAAATGTGGAGATTTCAATATGATATAGATAGCTCTCATGCAGCAGTTCACAATTACTGGCCTGACAGAATACTGATAATTTGGTTTGACCATTTCCCTTGTATTTTTTTTATTTTTTTTTTTTTTTTTTTTTTGGGGGGGGGGGGGGATATTTTAATAGCACTGCCCCTGCATGGTTCATATAAATAAAGTTGCTTCTGTTAGTGCAGAATTAAAGGTAAAAAAGACTTATGCATGAATTACATATATCCAACCACAACACATAAAACATTTTTGTTGAATACAGTTAAATATATAATGTTTTATTTCAAATACGGGTTCATAAATATATTTAACTTTTATGTTGTTGACATAAGTTATATTAATTAATTTATTAGATCGAATTAATACTTATTAATTTTTAGTCATTCATTAGTAATTCGCTTTTGCCTGCTATAATAATTCTGTTAACACCTCATCTCCTGTTTGTAATGTATTACAGTCCTGTGTAACTGCAGTTCTTGTACGCCATTTTGGCTCTTTAGAGCCGTGCTCTTGTTTTGTTTTTTAGTCAATGACGTCATGAGCCTAACCAGAAAAGGAAATTGCGTTTTCATGTTGTTTTCTCATTGGTCAGTCTTCTCTTAACCGGGGGAATTTTGAATTTGTTTGCAGGAGGAGCAAAGTATAGGATGTGTTTTAATGGTTTCTTTCAGTAAAGTTTGTTAGACGGTTGCACACTTTTTAAAAGTAACTTAGACTCGCTTTAACCTTAACAAGTACAATGGCTGAAGATATCGCCTCTGCAAGTACAATGCAGGCTGAAACAAACGCTGGCATTCCAGAGTTGCAAATTAAGCCTGTAGCAAAATGTGACGAGGGAGCGGCTTCGTCTCTAATACAAAATGAAATACAAGAAAAGATCGATTTGGAAACAGAAGTTGAAATGGAACCTGCTGGAATCGATCAGATGCCTGGTGAAATTCTGTATATAAAGCAAGGTAGGCCGTTGTTTGTTGTTCAGATATAAAATGTACAGCCTAAGATAATTTATAGAGTGAGAGGAGCGTCTCCTGTTTTTCGCTGAGGTTACCTTAGTAGTAATTGCAACATTCCAAAGTTAAAATCGATCATATTTAAACAGGTAAAGAGGTATTACCGAAGCTATTGCAGTTACTAATGCAATCAAATTCCGATTTTTTTTTCAGCTCTGTATTTGAATATCTTTCGTTGTTAGCAACGAGCTTAAAAGCAATTTTGTGTATTACTGTCGGTCTAAGTTAAACTTTCAAACTTGAGGATTTGTCCAGAAACAGATCTCCCTTTGTTTAGAGTTTTTTGGTGAACCTCCTTGTTTTGATTGAAGGGAGAAGCACCGTTAATTTGGTCTAGATAAAAACTCTGAATTACATAGTGGGCATTCAAATACGACAAAGTGATGTTAACTTGACGCTGTTTAACCAAAAGATTCACTTAAATCTTTCAAGTATTAATTTTGATTGTTTTGTGTTTTCTTAGTTCTTTTTCAGGAAAATGATGAAGATGAAGATACCGAGGAAGATGATGACAGTTGTAGTGATTATGGCAGCAGTGACAAGCCAGGCACAGTTTTACAGAGGGCAGAATGCACAGGAAATGTTGCTTTCCCTGACATCTTCCAGACTAACCAGCTTCTGTTTTATGAGAGGTTTAAAGCTTATCAAGATTACATGCTAGGTAATTGCTTTCTATATTGACTGTTCTCACTTTGCACTATTGTTCCAAATTTCCCTTTGGTCTTTACCAATCATGGCCTCCTAATCCCCATCAAAGAATTGGCTTCATTACTCTGTTCTCCCCACTGAGAGCTGATGTGGGTTGAGTATATTGTGTGCACTTTGGCTGCTGTCGCATCATCTGGATGGGTGCTACACATTGGTGGTGGTGGAGGGGAGTCCCCACTATCTGTAAAGCTCTTTGAGTGGAGTGGCCAGATAAATGCTATATAAGTGTAAGGTACTATGCATATTTCTTCAGAAACCTTTTCATAAAATTGAGGGATGCACTGACAGATGTTGATACTTTATTTCAGGATTGCTTACAATCCATCCTTTATGAAAACCATGAAAAGGTCTCTTTGTTCTTAAAGGTCAAAACGGCACAGTTTTGGTCAGCAGATACTCACATTGGTTTAAAAATATTTAATCTTTATGAATACAGAGTTGTGTGGCACAGTGATATGGCACACAGTGTTGCTGCGTTTTCACAGATATTTGGTTCTGGAGTGGTGTGCTGACGGTTCTTTGTTTCAAAGGAGTTTCCTCCGGTCTTCCAAAGGCATGCTGAATTGGCATTTGTAAATTGCTCCACATACTTGCGCATATGTGTCCCGTGATGCACTGTGGTGCTGTGTGGGATGTAGCCCTGTCTTGTGCTTACAGGATGTTCTGGTTTGCTGTGACCCTCACCAGTAATACTTGGATGTCTGATAATGGATAGACAGATTGCAGAAATGAGTCCTAACAATGTGTGTTTTGGTTTCCCTGAAGGTGACTGTAAAACCTCAGAAGTTAGAGATTTTACTGCAGACTACTTGGAGAAGGTTCTGGAGCCCTGTGGCTGGCGTGCTGTGTGGAGCACAGAAGTGTTTGATGTACTGGTTGAGGTATGTCTGAATGCACCATCGTGGGCACCTTCTTCACCTTTGTTTATTGCAAAAGTACAGAGAGCTTGAGGCAATAGAACTGAAAGTCAACTCTTGTAACATCTTGTACAAAGCACTGACAGGAAAACAAATTCAGGCATTTTAGGTGTCTCTTAGAAGGGTTAGAATCTTTCAATACTATTGACCATTTGGGGCACAACTAAATTTACTTGCAGTTAAAGTAAGGTAATTCTAATTTGTCTTGTTTTTGATACACTTAGCTGCATTGTTTGCCACTCACGATTGGAGTGCAATTCAAAAATAGTTGTTTGGAATGTGCTACAGATCTATGGTTTTATGAGATCAGTAATGCTTTTTCTAAAAGAAGAAAATGGTAATGTTTCTCCCATTCCCAAAAATATCACTCAACCTTATCTTGATTTTCATTTTATAATTTCATTTTTACTTTAATCATGCCTTCCTTGTCACAAGATGCTTTTCTTAAATCAGTGCACTGGTTTGTTCTGTTTTTAGATCTTTTTATGCATTCAGTTAGCTTTATATTTTAAAAAAGTCCGGGGAACAATTGGGAGGTGTTATGCAATGTTGCTAAAAGCTTTTTAATTTAATTCTGAGATTGGTGACTCAGAAGTCCTTTCTAACTGTCATTGCAGGTGGTGGATGTGGAGTGTTCCAGTCTGAAAGCCAGGGTGGAGCTGGTTCAGCCTCTCCTGTGTGAGAGAAAAGGCTGTGAGCTCACAGAGGAGTCCATGAGGGACCTGCTGGAGGCAAAAGAACATCAAGTGCCTTTGCAGGAACTCAGTGTTGTGTTTGATGAATCAGGGGAATTCGATCAAACAGCACTTGCTTTAGAGCACTTAAGGTAAATTATTTATGCATATTTAGAACTTGTTTTACTTAGCTGGAGAAAATCCAGACAGTCCTGACTTTGTTGTTCTGTACAGAGGTTTGAAGTGGAGAATGATGAATGTGGTTCTTGGAAAAGTGAAAGTTAATGAAAGCCTTGTGAATTTCCATGAAAACTTTTGTTGTATCTACAAACTGTTACCCCTTTTTGTAACCAGTGATCCTTATTATTCTGTAGTTTTGCTTTTGTTTTTTGTAGATCAGTAAGTGGTAGTGTTTCATTGGACTCCTTTGCTGGGTCTCTCAATGATGGTGCTTTTCTTTAATGACATATAACGCCCTTAAATGATACACTTGCTAAAACGAATAGCAATATTTAACTGCTGCCAACAGAAACAAGGTGTATATATATTTTTCCAATTGGTAGGTTTTTCTACAAACATATCTGGAGAAAGTGGGATGAAGAGGATGAAGATGATGATTTCGATTACTTTGTCAGATGTGTGGAGCCAAGACTAAGACTGTAAGTTAGTAGTGGAAATACATTTGAATGTTTCTGGTGTTCTGAGCATGGATAGTGTGGTTATAAGACATTCCACAAGATGGCAGTGTCTTCAATATGATTGATTCTACTGCAGTCTTTTTTTTTGGCACTACTGTAACATTTTTACTGCTTTTTGTTTACTGTAGGAAGGACAAGGACCATTTAAAATGGTGAATCCACACCAGTTGCTGGGGTTAATAAAAAGGCTGGGGGAGAAAGGGCAGTATATCTCCATAGTTTTATAACCGCAGAAAGAACGTTCATAATTCTTTCCCAGTTTCAAAATATATAGCACTCTGTTTATTTCTTGACATAAACCTTAAAGATCAAGGTTCTCTATAATTTAGATTTGTCCTTTTAAATGTAGCTATGTTTATGTAGCATGTGAAATGCTACATTCTCCCTTACAGAACATTTTCACCTATTCACCTTTTTATTCTGTGAAATGCAGTTTCTGTGCATTCTGCAATTTCCAATGCAAGACATTTACTTTGAATTTAAGCGCTGTGAATGCCTGATTAAATGTAATGCACTGTGAAAAATTAGTCCCACGTTGTTGTGATTGCTCACATTATTTATGCATGAAGAAAAGCAGCAGCACAAGATGCATCACAAGATGAGAGACATCACAAGACCAGGTTGTTGAAGCATTCTACTCGTATTCCTACTTACTTCAAGGATTTCTTATGTGTTTGACCTTGTAATACGAATACCAGGGTTTTTGGTGCAAGACTTCCTTAGGCACTTTTGATAAGGTCATTGAGTACTGGTGTGCTGACATATACAATATCATCCTCGCACACACATTGGAAATATAGAATAAAAGGTATCTTCATATGAGGTTACCTTTTAGTATTTAATGTATGTGCAAAGAAAGATGCATTTTCTGCCCGATTCCACACTGCAAAGCAGTCATAAATGTGGTATGCGCTATGAAACAGAAAATATAGATATGGAAATTGGAGAATGAGTGAATACAAAGTTTTCCTCCCCTTTTGTGGTTCCAGGTACTATGATATCCTGGAAGACCGGGTGCCCACTGGCTTGGTTGCAGAGTATCACAGTTTTCTGTTGAAATGTGAAGAGAAGTACCAAGAATTTACAAGCCTCAGAAACACCATCAACAGTGACTCGGAGTCTGAACTGGATAATGTTTCTATGGTGGAAGGCTTGAAAATGTACGAGGAGATGGAGTCTTTGAAACGCAAGCTGAAGATTATAGAAAATCCACTTCTCAGGTATCCACCGGAACTTTGAATCAGTGGCACGAATAAGGGAACACATACAGAGGCGAAAAAATCTTTTACCAACAAGTAACATATAAAATCATCCCAAGTCTTTGTCTTTCTGGTTCTTGCTACAGTTTTAATCAGACAGTTGTTCAACAGTCCTGTGACAGGTACAGTATTAATCTTTGTATCTACATCACTTCTTTCCAGGTACGTGCTGGGATACAAGGTGAACTCCGGCCTGCAGTCTAGCAGAGCAAAGGGTCGTCGCCCCGGAGGAGAGAGGATCGTACATGTTGTGTCTGCTTCCATGAATGTTAGCCAGCTGCAGAATCTGATGAAAAATAAACTGTGTCCAGATTTTTCCAGTGAGGAGTTTGAGCTACAGGTATCTTTTAATGAATCCTTGTCCAAACAAAATTTAAATGTTTCTTGAGATGATGTTTACAGGTAACGGCAGGGTTTTTGGCTGATAAAATCTAGTGACAACAAGGATGGCCAGGGAAATGTTTTTCTCTTATAAATGGCTATTTTATAAATCCTTGCGACTTACTAATTTTAACTTGGCAGCAGGGATAGCCTAAATCTTAGGTGAGGTACTGTATGTCAGGTCTTCTAATTTTCATTTACACAAAAGTGGAATGTTAAGTTACTTTTGCAGTGACAGTTTGGTTTTTGACTAAAAGGAATCTTCCTTGCAGTTACAGAAATGCGAATAGTACTAGCTAATACGTTTATGAAACCCCTTTGATTGCCGTTGAAGGATTTTACTAAATGTTATTCAAATTTCAGTTCTTGAAAGTGAAGTGCTTTATTTTTTGCAGTGATGTTTCATATTCTTTTCACAGTTTCACAGTGATCCTTTGGCAGCAGTGAATGTCTGTCATGATGGTGATGTGGTTCTCGTCTGCCCAGGCCAGTATGCTGTGAATGGCTCATTTAGTATTCCAGACTCCATTGAGGTGGAAGGTAAACCACTTACAACCCTGGGTGATGGTATATCTATTGGTGGGGAAAAAATAAAGTAGTTCTCTATTTTCTTTTAATTTGATTTGGCTTTTTTCCAAAGGAAATACAAGATCTAATTATTAGTTCTGTTTTCTGTAAGGTCTGACAAGAATTGTTATTCTGGGGACTCAAAAATGTGCAGCTTTTCTGCCTGGAGTTTGAGTTCAGTTCATTCTTTCCCTAAGAATGAATTTAATTGGAACTTTTAGCTGCTGAGCAAATTACAAAAGCTTTGTATTTGTATTATTGCAGAAAAATTAAATCAATACATTGAGAGCAGGATGCTTCCTTGTGAAAATAAAATCCAGTTTGCCCTGGGGATTTGGATATTTTTATCTTAAATATTGCCTTTTAACCTTTTTTTTCATAGGATTTACTAGTTATAGTCTCAGGCACTGATGAAAGGTCAGTCAGTGCGTACAGTAAAAGTATACTTAATATAAGTATATTCTTTTAAGGTAAAGTAATTCTAAATGCTCATAAAATTAACATAAACTTGTAAAATAGAGGATGAGTGTACTTCGTAAGTAAATTGAGCTTGATGGTGCAATAACTATTTAATAATGAATGGGGATAATGTATAAAATGGAGTGCAGGGGAGTAAAAGATGTAAGTGCTCTGTCAGTCATGTTATGCAAATTGAAGACCTGGAAAGTCAGATAGTAAGAACTCCAAAGATTGGAAAGGCTTTTAACTGGCATTCCTTTTTAGCCTCCCCACAGTGCAGGGAATCCCTGAAAGCACAAGTAAAAACTATGAAAATAAAACTGCTGCTAGATGCTCAGGAAATGGCAAGATCTTTTTATATTTGGCATAGTTCACAGTGCTGTACTTGGGTATGTGTATGCTCATGGAGATTAATTTATTGATAGGTAGATGGCATATTAAATGTAATGTATTGGTCTTGAATTAGTTGATATGGGAGAAAATAGTGTAGTTGAGTTTTTGTATGTATTTTGACCATTTTTTTATAATCAATCGGTTTGAAAAATTGTCATGATTTTCAAGGAGCATTGGTAGAAATTTGGTGGCTTTAATTGTGGTGAATGTGGTTTTCTCATGGTCTACATTCATGTTTTAGACTTGCATATCCCAGTAACTCAATAGTTTGAATTTCTCCGCAAGAGCAGCTATGTACAGTACAATCTTAATGACTAATATTTCCTTTGCTTAGCAAAGCTTTTTGCAATATTGAACAAAGGTCTTTCACAAAACCTGAAAAGTACATTTCGTCCTCATATTTCTTCATTTAAAGTTTCTCATATGTGTTTTGGGATTCTTGTTTTATTTTAATAAACTATCAGTTATGTATGTTTTGCACCCTTATTAAAAACTCATTAAAGGCAAATTAGATTTTTGTTCTTCTCTTATGCATTTGTGCAATTTATCAGCATCGTGGTTATCTTAAGCTATTGGCAGTATGTGTACCTGTCATGGTTTTTAAAATATGTCTGATCAAGCAGTTGCATTCTTCTAACATTCACAGATCAGGTTTGTTCTGCTCCTGAAAATCTGGGTTATTCTTCCAGGACCTATGTTGATTGTTTTTTTTTCTTCTCAGGGTTTGGTTTACCTGATGATGTTGTCATTGAAAAGAAAGGAAAGGGGGATAACTTTGTGGATTCAACAGGTGCCAATGTCAAGATTTCCAACTTGAAGTTTATCCAGCATGATGCAATTGAGGGCATTTTATGTATGTAATATTTGATTTTATTTGGCCTTCAAAAAACCACATAAATTATTTTATGGCCAATGAATATATACTTGACATCAAAAGAAACCAATCATAAAAGAAACTGGATTTGTAAGGAAAATGACCATCCTTTTTGTAATAGGTGCACTGACATTTTATTGTACAAACATGACATGAGTAAATTAAGCTGATTTATAATCAATAGGGTTGATATTATTGAAAGCAATGGGGCAGTAGCTTGTGCAGGTTATCATTGGAAGTTATATTTTTTCAGGTCTCGGAACTTGATCATTGTAGCATTGGGCAGTCGAGTTGCTATCAAATCATTTGTGGATTTCTACAAGGATTAAAAACTCCTGTCCAGACAATTACAATTTAACAACCCTACCAATTGGTCTGCACTGCACTCCCTGAAACCCACAGGTGTGGTATGCACAAAGCATAGATTTCTAGGACTCTGTTACTGGCAGTTTGAGTCATATTGCCAGTGCAAAGGAGTTGTTCTGCAGATAAGTGGGGAAAATTGGTTTCCTTCTGAATTTCTTTCTTGATTTTTGCCATATATGACATTCAGTTGCATAAATTGCCTCTATTGTAGTCAAAACATCTTGTACTAATGAAGAGATTCAGTGCTTATGAAAACATTAACGTCACAGTAGTATATCCCAGGCCAGTCTCGAATGATCAGTTTATCAATTAAAATCTGTATGGTTATATCTGTATAACATGCAAATACATAGTGATGTTTCACATTATGCTCTGTATATTAACTTGTCCTGGCCTGTTGGCCTTTTCTTTTATAAAGAATTGTAAACTATTTGTATTGGTTAAAATTAAAACTCCAGCTTTTTAAAATCCAGAAGTATTTTTTCCCCCAATATATTAGTGATACCTCTATTACATTGACTTCTTAAACTGTCCCATAATGAATTAAAAGTAAATTAAATTCACATCATACATCAAATTAATGTTATATAAGTTGCTTTAATCTTTTATTTTTTTGTATTTTAATTGAGGGTGACTGGATGTAAACTGACAGTTTTCCATTAGGGTGCTGGTGTATTTTTGTCAACACTTATGATTGGTCTTTTAAGGTGTTCGTCAAGGAAAAATGCTCTTGGAAAACTGTGTGTTCCAATGTGAAACAACAGGAGTTATTGTGCGGACATCGGCGGAATTGACAATGAACTTGTGCGACTTATATGGAGCAAAGGTAAAAGTGAATTTCCCTGACATGTTCTGAAATTCCTGTCATGTTTAGGATTCTGTTTAAAGTAACATTCTGTATTATTCTTCTGAGTTTTGATTGAGAATTGGCTTGTTTGTAGGGTGCTGGTATAGAAATATATCCAGGCAGTACCTGCAGTCTGGTTGGAAATGGAATTCACCATTGCAAAGAGGGAATACTTATCAAGGTGAGAGTACATTATCTATGCCTGAATTATATCAGATGACTTGTGAGCATCTATTAACTCTCTTTGAATTCCCTGCTCCTTGTTAATTCATTTTTGTCTGTTTGGTTATTCCATTAATAACTATTTTATTCCATTAAAGCGTTTTTCTTTAAATCTAGTTCCAGTAGCAAACAGTGCATTATCTACTTCCCAAGATAAAATTGGATTCTGTAAAAAAGATTTAAAAGTAGTTACAAAAACAAAGATCATACATTTTAATTACCTTAAGTTGCGTCTTATGCTCTTATCTTAGGCCCTGAGGTTCTCTACTCATTTTGTCCTTATCTTTTACTGTCTGTTAGTTATTATTCACTGTTAGAACTGTTTGGCAGCTGTCTTTTTGTGCTTTGCTTCAGGACTTCACTGATGAATTATATACTATGCCTAAAATTACTATGACGAACAATGTGATCCACAACAATGAAGGCTATGGGGTCATCCTCGTTAAACCAACTGATCTGACTCGAGTGAGGAAGTGTACTGAAGCAGTTTTTCAAGGTACCCATTTCTAATTTTTGCCACTTTTAATTTTTTTCCATTTTAAAAGCATAAATTCAAGTTAACCACCCTGCAATACTAAAAAAAAGTGCTCAGTTTTTCAGAATATAATATCCATGAAAATGTATTCATGTGAATACAATTTTATTAAAACCCCAGAGGGGAAAAAGTCCTGTCCACAATGATTCTTTTCCCCCTTTTGTTCAGTAGAATTAACATTTTTTCATAACTCTGCGCCAGTTTGTGAAGAAAGTATATTTAACTAATATAGGCCTGACCTTCAGTCAAGGGCATCCACGAATGAAAATGCTTAATTTCTAAATGAGGTTGGGAGGATGCATGGCTTTAAATAACAAAAGACCGTTTTCAGCTGCCTCACAGAATTTAATGGAATATTCAGTAGGATGCCATTTGAATTTCTATGAGTACAATTGTTGCAGTGCATAGCAGGTGAATGTGAGAAAATGCCTATAATTTTAAATTTTAAGCTTCATTTGGTAAAAAAATGCCATTTTAACTAATGTATGTTTCATTAGGTTGTTAATGGATATTTGTAGTTTTTTACAAAAAACTTTTTAAAAAAAGCATGTTCTTTTGAGATTTAAAATTCACAAATTTATAGTTAAACATTTGAGAATGAAATCTCCTGACTGATTACTCAGATTATTCTAGCTGGTATTTTAAAAGCTGGTGAGGGCATTACTATGCTGTGGATTGATGTCCTGATTGAGTTTTAGTATTAAGGATGAATGCAGAACACACATTATTGGTAAGTAGAACTGACAGTTTGCTTCTGGTGTAGTTATACCTGCTAAACCTGAGAACTTTAAATGCACTATTAATCAAATGGCAAATTTCAGTCTGATCACTTTCAGATTCTAAACTTGGATGAATGGCATAGTGAGATGTAACTGTGCATGGGCACCCTTGACACTTTCTTACACAAATTGAGTTTCATTGTCACACAGACTGTGGCCTCAGTTCAGCTCTGCTTGGTCCATTTACTCTTCTCTGTGCACAGCAACTTTTTTTCTGTATTCAGAAAATAAATTGACAGAGTGTTCCCATTTGTCTGCGATACATTCTCAAGGAATTTACAGTATAACTGCCCTAAGGCCAACAACATTGTTGCTTTATTTTTTGGTATGCCTGCTTCACAACAAAATGCTAGATTGCAAAATCCATTGCCGTTTATTCCTCGATTAATTGTTGGAAAGAAAAAGAGAAACATGTTTAGAAAAGGGTACTTTACAGAATGTACTATTTGGAAGTGATGTATTGCAACTGAAAAAAGACCAGTTCTTTTGTATCCTGGATTATATCTATATAATAAACATTGGTTGTCGGCTGTTGCCTCACATTTGCTTTCCAGATGAGTTGCAGGAGAATGGAATAGGTCAGAAAGAGGAAGCCAGCCTGGAGGCAGAAATGGCCAGTGCTCAGACAGAGCGATGTTTGATGGAAGGAAAAGCACAGGAAGACAAGCCAGGTCCTCCAGAGTTCACAGAGGGCAACGATGTCATTAAAAATGAACTGGTGGCCACATCTGCCAAGAAAAAGCAGTTGCAGAAGAAGAAGATGATGGAGCTGGGAATAACGCAGCCAGATGACAGTTTGATGTCGCAGGAAATGTTTGTGTCAATTGAGGGAAATCAGTTCAGGCGGAATGGCAAAGGAAGTTTTGGCACTTTTTTGTACTGAGTTTTCAGCAATCCTGTTGTAGGGTGAAAGCGCAGATACAAAACACTAAATATTGCACATATACAGTATATTTATTCTTTTATTTAAAGAACTTGACAGCAAAATACACTTTCACTGAAAGAAACCAGACTGCTCAAAGAACTTTTACATTTTTATCTGGTCCTTTTAACTTAGTAAGACTGCTTCAAGCAGGAGTTGAATATTCTGCTGTGCACTAATGCAATTACGTTTACTGTAAAGAGCCTTTTAAGTAGTACTAGTATTTCCTTTTATTTTCATGCACTAAATGCTGTAAACGTTTATATATGAATGATGAACAGTAATTACTGCATGCACATGGTTTAATTTTCTTAAACTTCACTAGCATTTTGTCTATGGGGATGGGAATATAATTACTCACAAATTAGGGCATCGTTTTGATTTCATCTGTTCTTGGGGACAAGTTGTCATTTTTGTACTCGATCACCAATGTGTTATTGAATTTGTGTTATTGAGGGTTTGAATTGAGAAGTTTCAAATAAAAATTAACAGGCTTGTATCTTTGTTCCATCAATATTCTAAGTTATAATGAATAGAGCTTTCTGTGGCTTTCTTCATTAATTGCAGTGTCAACAGGACATAAGAAAAGCTATTGGGTTTACTGGCTTAAGGCTCTACCTTTTGTATGCATCCTTACTTTAGACGGTTGCAATTAAAGTTTAATTCCAATTGATTACATTGCTGGGGATTAAATGCCCACCAAAACCTCATTACACTGCTGTCAGTTTAATTAAATATATAATTGACTGTCCCACCAACCAGTATACATTTTGTAGCTTCTTTTGAAGCCATAAATCTTGCCTGGAGTAGTTCTACTCTCCACTAAAACTGAGGTGGTGTTTAATAGTGTAAATGATAATTATTTAAATGCAAATGGCTTTTATCTATTGGCTTCAAAGCACTATGGGGGAAGCATACTGACAAAATCAAATTGATGGCTTCTATTTTGGGATTTGCTTCACCACTATTTCAATGATCCTTGCTGTGTGGGTGTAAGTTGCTGCAGTCGGAGGGCAGTTTTTAAAAAAAAAAAACATTGTGAAAAGCCTGTAATTGCTAAACTGCCTTTTGTGGCATTTTGCTGCATGTAATTCTTTTGTTGCAAAAGCTTGATTTTTTTTTTTTGTTCACAGACCAGTAGGAAATCTGATGAATTGAATGCAGTTTGTTTGTATGGGTATTTTGTACATTACAGTATAATTGGTATGGGATTGATAAGTGCTAATGATGTAGCCTATAGAGTTCAGAAATTATCGTTCACCTGCCGATTATGAAATGCCCATTTATGTTGGTGTTTATTTTGAAGCAGTGACAAACCAAATCATAAACCCACTTTTATTAAGGTCCGTTACCTGTTTGTGAAAGTGGCATAAACGGCTTGCTTTAAAGGAACTTCACTTTGACCTGCGCCAATCTGAACAGAAAAATAGCCGCAGCGCTAAACAAAAGACTGATGACTGTGGTCATCGCTTCCTACTTCAACATGGATGCGAGTTTCCAGATCAGAAGTTACTGTAACTTGCGAACCCAAGATTGATGTTTGTCTTTTTTTCTTGTGTCCCAGGTTACGAATAGCATTAGTGAACCAGTACTTTTTGATCAGTTCTTACAGTTGCTATGTCGAACGGTTCTTGTAGCTTGTGTTTGCTTGAACTGCTCGAGATCATTGAGATATGTGCATGCTACAGAGGAGATTTTTGTCTAATTTGGGGACAATGTTTGTCTGCTGTTACTCTTGTAGTTTTTACAGAAAAACCTAAATCAGTACTAGCATAGAATAACAGCAAACATCCTAAACCTCTAATGTGGTTGATGATGCTTCTGATCACTGACAGTCACTGTCTAGTATGTGAAGCCTTTAGTTTGTTTTTTCAATTATCTCTGATGTGTTATAACTTGATCATTTAGTCTTTGCATTAGTTTACTGTAGATTAATTAAAAGCCTATTAAGACCAGCACCAAGTAAATATTGCTTTGCCACTCGTTTAGCATATTGCATGTCCTCTTGAGTTACTTAGTATATTATATTTGCTGGTTTAAAAAAACACTTACATTAACAGCACTCATCCTTTTATAAGCAGCCTTTGGTGTCTTTCAGTGCTGTAGAAATGGTCATTGAAACGATAATTGTAAAAGGGGAGATAAATCATTCCTTCTGCATTTAGGGTTCTTTCATTGCTGACTGCTAAGCTGTAAAACCATTTCGTGAGGAATATAAATTTAAAAACTTTTTGCTGCCCTGAATGATTAGTGCAGCTTTTAACAATGCTGTAGCATTAACTAATCTGAGTGTAACCAGATTTGTAAAACCTAAAAAGACTTGAGAAGGATACTGATGTGTCCTACTTAAAGGTCTCGTTTAATAAATGCTTTTTTCACAGATCAGGTCTTTGTGGGGAAAAGGACGTTTTTGGCAGCACTTATATTGCAGATATGGGATATTCAAGATGTGTTTTACATGGACATTAGGCTCATTTAAAAAAGATTCTGGTAGTGGTGCTGACTAGTGATTTTGTATTTAAAGATCATTTATATTTATCACTCATTGGTTTTTAAAAAAGAGTTCCTTAGGAACTTGAAAAGTTCATTTTTCACTTCATTTTACAATGCCTTTTCTAGATTTAGGTAATGCATAGTGCAGCGTATTGATTTTATGTTCACAATTCCTAGGATTTATTTTTTTACTTTCAAATATTTTCACCTTAATTGGAACTGAACACACTGGCAGTGTTTCAAGAGACAATTGTTTAAGGTTGATTGTCATTTTTTAAAATCGAAATTTGTCTATGCTTCTAGCCTTTTGATAAGTACTATTGTAGGTATTTTGGTGTCAGAAATTCAGGCAAAATGTTTGTTCTTTTTGTCAAAGATCATTGAAATGTCAGGTTTTTTTAAGACAAATCTATCATTGCGGGCTTCAAATAAGATGGTCTACAAAGTCCCATTCTTTAAAGTGATGAAAATTATTGATTTACTTTAATGCAACAGAATGATGGAGATCTAGCAAAAGAATGAAAGCATCTGGAAGCCTTTTGTGATAGTTTTATCTTTAGTACCTGCTTCTATTTCTAAGAAGACCAAAGTGAAAGCTGGGGGGAGTTGAAGATGCCTCAGGGGTGTCTTTGAATTTCTCCAGTTCTCAAGTCGAATTTTGTGGAGAAAGATACGGCTGAAATAAGTCTTGTGGCTTCAAATTCCAGTGATATACTCTTACCTGTTACAAAGCTGAAATACCTCATTTGTGGCTTCTATGGTTGCTATGACTTTCGTCACCCTGAAATGATCTGAGCCATGGATTCTACTAACCATGCTCAGCAAGCAAGCTTACTGTTAGAGGGTGATTAGTTTGAGCAATGTGCTTGCTTTTTATTAAGATTTATTGAAAAGCTGGACCTGTTATTGAAATGTAATGCAGAGTCTGCAGAGGATTTAGAATTTAATATTTGGTTACTTGTATGTTGTGGGCAAGCGGAAACAAAGTTAAATTAGTTTACCAAGTCATTTTAACACTGTGCAGTAATCTGATAGATCCAATGGCCTATACAGTTATGTGAAATGCAGAGTTTAAAAAATTCAATTACCAACATCTTTAATGTTGGTAAGAGGGTCCATGCCCTTCTTCCTAATAGGGAAGACTAAATGGAGGCCCACAGCTTTTAATCTTTCCTTATGTTAGTCTTTTTGCTTAAAATTAAAATGTTATTTGAGAAATGGGAGATCAGGTTTTCTACCTATTGATTGCAATTGATGTCTTATCAAATATTGGGCCTCTACGTGTAATAACTATTGGGGTGCTAGCCGTAAAGAGGAACAACAATGAGATGGATCCTAGTGAAGTGTAGTGGTTAAGGATCTTTTCTCATACCCTTGGTGGGGCACTGCTGTTGTACACTTGAGTGGTATACTTTATTCACAATTAAATTACTTCCAGTAAATGCAATGTTGCATTAATGGTTATTCTGAGATTTTGTTCACAGTTGACTTAGATCTGACTTGTCTAAGGGTTTAAACAAGACTCAGATGCATATTTACATGAACAGGACTAAACATTAGTCTGTTCTCCCCTTAACTGATTTGTAATTAGTTTAAGGTATTAAGGTTTATATAGATTTTTTTTCCTCAGAGCAGATTCTTGATTTGATTACTTAGTTTCTAGAGAGAGTCGTTTTATGGTTTACTGTTCCTCTGAGTTTCTGCACTAGACAGTAGGAAATGCCTGATGTGTCTGTCTGACAGCTGGTGGGCTTTACACCAGTCTTAAAAAAAAAAAACATTCAAGTAACCAATATGCCTGTAATTGTCTGTTCTTGCATCTGTGCGGGGAGATCATAGAGTTTAATCGGGGGTCACATTAAAATGAATCGTCTGAGCTGAAAATTGAATTAGGGGTCTCCTGGCTCTAAATGCTCTTCTTAATCAGCCAGAGGAGAGGTGTGTCTAATCAAAGTCTATGGTATGATTCAACTAAGGAAAAATTCAGTTTATGAGAAATAATGGGAAGATTAAGAAAACCATGTTGATAACAGTAGATTTATTTGGCACGTAGGCAGAATTAATTATGAAATTTGTCTTGCTCTGCTGTTAAAGCTTCCTAAACTCATCAAAAGTGCATGCATACTGTAAATACACAGCATATTGCTGTATCTCTGTACGTTTTGATGCAAAATAAGTTTTTAAAGTCAAAGTTTTTTAAAATAATATAATTGGATATAAGTAGCAGCCAATGCTGAGATATCTATATATTTATACTACTAATACAGAACCTTAGGCCAAATACCTGTAATATGTATTGCATTGTGATTAGAAAGACATTCTGGCATGTTCAAGCAAGTACTGTATGTGTTTGCTTCATATTGTCTGTGATGATCTGTTTAGGCTCTATTTTTATAGAACTGATTATTGTCCCCATATCGGAATCTCATCAGATTATATTTGAAATTGGCATTTAGCTTGGTGTTGATTTACCCTAAACAGTGGGAGAATCAATTGTTGGGAAACTTCCTTTATCTCAACAAACATAAGCTCTTACAAAATCCATTTTGATGCCAGTTAAGGGGAGTTGTTTTTGGTATACTTTATTACAGGTAGTCTATCCATCGTTTAAGATCTAGCAAAATTTCTATGTAGAAACACCGGCTCTGATGGAAATAAATGAAGAGACCTGTGCCTGCTCTCTATAATGTTATCCAGGTATGCTTATGAATAGGACAGAATTAGGTGTTGCTGTGCTTTTCCCAGTGAGGCCCCCCTCTCTCATCTCCGTGGTACAAGCCATAGAGAAGCCATTCATGTTGTTGCACTAATTTAGGGATGTTTTTCTTCCTGATAAGGAATAATTCCCAGGATCGGGATGCAGCCAGCTATCATGATATATGCCATTTCTTGGAGCCTGGTTGTAGTAGTGAGACTCTAAGCACATCTGGATTATGGTCCTAGAGTCAGAGGTCATGGTCAATCATTCCTCAAGTTGACTGACCAATCAGGAACCTGCAGGGTGTG